ACTGTTCTTTCCTTCACAGATGCTGCCAGACCTGCTGAGCTGTTCCGGCAACTTTGTTTTCGTTCCTGATTTATGGCATCTGCAGTTCTTTCAGTTTTTAACATCTGTCCCTGTCCTTTTTCAGCATTACAGTCATAAAGGTTTACAGCCTGGCAATAGGCCTTCAACCCATTGAATCTAAGTTGGTCAAATCAAGCACTTAACTATTCAAATCCCGTTTGCCAGCACTTTGCCCATTGCCTAGTTTGCCCTGGCATCAAAGTGCACTTCCAAATACCACTGAAGGCTTACGAGTGCTTCTTCTTCTTCTACTACCTTTACAGACAGAGTTCCAGATTCCCAATGTTTTCCTCACATCCCCTCTGAACCTCCAGCCTCTACTTTAAATCCTTGCCCCAAGTCATGAAATCTTCCACCAAGAGGAAAAAGGTCCTTTCTGTATACGCCTCCATGCCACTCAAATTTATACACCTCATCATATCCCTTCTCAGTCTTCTCTGCTTCAAGCAAAACAAGCCCAGTCTTTTCTAAAGGAATTGTTGCTTGCTCAACACTGATTCATTCCCAACGCCACCTCACTTCCTATGCATTTTTCACATTCTCCTTTTACATCATCCAAGGCACCAAAAACACTGTGGTGCCCTCTCCAATGAGGACTGCCAAAAACAGACTGTTCCGAAGAAGGGTCACTGGACTCAAAGTTAATCCTGCTTTTTCTCCACAATAGCTGCCAGACCTGATGCATTCTACCAGAAAGTTGCTTTTGTTTCAGATCTTGAGCAACAGTAATTTTTTTTTGGTTTCTAGGCTGGGTGAACCTTTGTGGAACACTTACATTCAGTGCTCAAGAAAGACTGGACTTCACATCATTTGAATTCTCCACTCTGGCCTTTATGTCCATGGCTTGCTGCAGTATTGCAATGCAAGCTCAAGCAACAACACTTTTCATCTTGGTAGTATATAACCTCTTGTACCAACCTTTTCCTAGCTACAATCAGTTCTGAAGATGGGTCACTGGACCTGAAACATCACCTCTGCTTTCTGTCCACAGATGTGGCCAGACTTGCAACTTTCTTAGCAATTTCTGGTTTTGTTTCTGGGATCGCCATCATCTGCAATTCTTTGTTTTTTCTCTTCTTCTGTACTCAATAATGAGTACTCAACCTTACATCATAAGTATTTCTAATCAACCTGTGACATACACATCTAGGGGTTGAGACTTGACGCTGGATCTTCGAAAATCCACAAAGACACTAACACTGCACCATATGGAACAACCTCTGCCTCTGTCTTGCCCTGTGAGATAATCTTCTGTTTTATTTTTATAAGTCCATAAGACATAGGAGCAGAAATTAGGCCATTCGGCCAAAAGAGTCTGCTCCGCCATTCAATCATGGCTGATAAGTTCCTCAACCCCATTCTGCTGCTTTCTCCCCGTAACCCTTGATAATCAAGAACCTATCTATCTCAGTCTTAAATGTACTCAATGACCTGGCCTCCACAGCCTTCTGTGGCAGTGAATTCCATAGATTCACCACTCTCTGGCTGAAGAAGTTTCTCCTCATCTCCGTTCTAAAAGCCTCCCTTTACTCTAAGGCTGTGCCCTTGGGTCCTAGACTCTCCCTACCAATGGAAGCATCTTCCCAACATCCATTTTGTCCAGGCCATTCAGTATTCTGAAAGTTTCAATTAGATCCCCCCTCATCCTTCTAAACTCCAATGAGTATCGTCCCAGAGTCCTCAAACGTTCCTCATATGTTAAGCTTTCCAATTCTGGGGCCATTCTCGTGAACCTCCTCTGAACGCACTCCAGGGCCAGTACATCCTTCCTGAGATATGGGGCCCAAAACTGCACACAATACTCCAAATGTGGCCTGACCAGAGCCTTATAAAGCCTCAGTAGTACATCCCTGTATTATATTCAAATCCTCTTAAAATAAATGCCAACATTGCATTTGCCTTCTTGACTACTGACGCAACCTGCAAGTTTACCTTGAGAGAATTTGCTAGCTTGTTCCTCTTTTTAAACTTTCATTTTGCATTTAGGTAGGTACTATATAGCTATTCAGGCTTCACCTGCACGCATCTGCTTCTTTCCTTATCAACATTCTCTTTTGAAATTTCTATCACAATCAATTTTGTTAGTAAGTCTCTCCTGTCTCCCAGACTATTGCAGCCTAATCCTAATGTTCCTTGTACACCACCAAATTTCTCCATTACTAGTATAAAAATCTTGCATTTCTATTTTCCTCCTAAAAGATGAACACTTTTTCTCCGCAGATATTGCTTGACAGGCTGAATATTTCCAACATTTCAGATTTTATTTCACGATTTACTGGATCCACTGTTAAATTCCACATTCCCATTTCCCCTGATAAGCCTCGAGGCCCTCGCCACCTAAGAATATCCACGCGATCTTAACAATGTCCAATAACCTGCATCCCACCCTACCCAAGGCAGAGAGTTAAAGTCGTACAACCCTCCGGAGAGGGGAAAAAAACCTCATCGCTCTCTTGAAAGGATCACCCCTGATTTTAAAACAGGGACCCCTAGTTCTGAAGGGAGCGACAAGAGGAAATATCCTTTCGACGTCCACCTAGTCAAGACCATTCAGGAGGATCATGCATACTTCAGCCAAGTCACCCCTCACTCCCGTGGAAATAAACCCAGTTTGTCCAACTTATCCTCATAAGATAACCCTCCCATTCCAGATATAGGAATCCTTCTTCGGAACCCCCTCCGACGCATTTACATCCTCCCTTAAGTAAGGGGTTTAAAACTGGGGTGGTCACCAGTGTCTATTACATCCTCTAGTCTACACGGGTTCATTCACTAACCTTGCTGTCTCCGAACGGGGTTACACGCTTTTACTATCCTCGTAACTGAACACTTCATCCTACTTCCAAGTGCTCAGTATTGTTTTGTTTAAACGACTTTGCATATACCGCCTGATCTCTGGTTCGGCAGTTAGCAAGGGCTAACTTAAACACCGCTCACTTGTTAAATGGACAGATCACGGTTAGAACGACAGTTGCGATGCGAAAAGCCCCGGCTCCCAGTTTTCCGACCGACCTCTAAAAGCGCTAGCTAAAGGCAACAAGCGTTTCACGCCCCTTACTCACAACCCGAAGACATCGCCGAAAAGAAAACATCAAACCACGCACCAGAGTCCGTGGCTCTGTCAGCACCAACAGCCCGATTTCAAACTGCTGCGGACTTTCCAACTGCTTCCACGAGCCAACGGCGCAGCGGCCTGGCTATGGAGCTGTCCTATTGGTTAGAATGCGGGAACACCCCTCCTGACCCCGCCTCTGATAGGCTAACTCTGACGGCGACGATCCACGGGTACAAGGTATGATTGGTTTTAAATTTAAACACGAAGCCTTCTGTCTATTGGCTGGCTCTCCGCAGCCGTTGGCCTTGTCCCGGTGAGCCGGCCTCCTGATTGGCCAGTCAGCCCGGTGAAGGCGGTGAAGTGGATTCCTGAGGCCAGAGCCAAAGGCTTTACCTGCTGCCGAGGTACATCCCAACTTATGATGTCATTTCCAACTGAAGATGCTGGGAAGTAAAACATAAACACCTACGTTCAAGGAATAGAAAGGCTACAGGTTTCATCAGAAGTGGGTATGATGACACGAGAATGGGCCTTTTCAATTATATATAAAAACAGAAAGAGCTGGAGAAATTCAACAGTTCTGATCTGACAGCATCTATGGAGAGAGAAATCGATATGACTTCTTCAGATCTGCTGAGTTTCTCCACCGTTTTTTGTTTCTTTTTCAGATTTCCAGCAGCTGCAGCATTTTGCTTTTATTTGGGAATTTTCAATTCTGCCCCATGTTTCTGTCTTGTGTGTTGGCATCACGCACTAGCATCCCGATTTTGCCAACATGACTGAAGTGGACCACAGTGTAACAATGACGAAATAAACTTTTTTTTATTGAGGAACAATTTTTGGCCAAGCAGAGCTTTCTTGCTTTCTTTAAAAAAAAAATGCTTTCTACTCTCCGAATTGTTCCAATCTTTCATCAATTATGTAATGTTAAACCTCAGGCAAAGATATAGGATCTATGTCACTACATGACAAATTTTAGGAACAATTTTACTAATTTGTATTTTATTACCTGGTGGGTCAGGAACGAGGATGTGCTTTTCACAGCCGGTTGGAGATGCCTGTCAATTCCATCACTTTGTTGTGGCAAACTGACGTCTTATTCTGAATCAATGGGGTGTTCAAAACACGGTTAACCTTTAATAATCCTCAAAACAAGAATCTTTGAATAACATTTTTGGTTGTTCATCAATGTTTCATTTATCAAAAGATGGATATTGGCAACAGCCAGGATCCAGGGCGCTCAAATATAACCAGTTAAAATATTGTAGATTATCAACACCAACTACGATGAATACAGCCTTGGAATGCTGGGTGAGAGTGGGAGACTGAGTGGAAAGAATTCCAACAATTAGTGACAGGCCTACCTTCTAGGTGTACCATTAATAAGATAGCTTGGGATTGTCATTGCCCAAAATACAGCAAACCTGCCTGACATGGGTATGGTTATTCATTTTGTCACAGAGGTTTAAATTGGTATCATTCTCCAATCACAAAAGTGTGAGTCAATGGCTGTTTTGAACAAGATGGAATCTAAAAATCTCTGGATCCTACAGCTTGCATTGACCAGAAACTGAACTGGGCTATCTACATAATCAGAGGCTAGGAATTAGATGGCAAGCAACTCACCTCCTGTATCCCCATTACTCATCCTACATATCCAAATTACAAATCAGGGATGTAATGGAATATTTTCCACTTACTTGGATAGGTGAATTCCAACAACATTCAAGAAGCTTGACATCACTCAGGATAAATTAGCCCACTTGACGAGCATTCCATCTACCACCTTCAACATCCTCTCCCTTCACTACTGATGCACAGTGGTACAGTGGGTACCATCTAAAATATGCACTGCAGCAAGTCACCCAAATAAGGACACACACCTCCTGGCTGCCAGTTCTAATCCAAAGAAACACAATTTTTTTTCATTACTTTCCTTATTTATATTCATTTATGGGATGGAAGCTTCACTGGCCAGGCCAGTATTTATTGCTCACTCCGAATTGCTTATGAGTAAATTGTAGTGTGCTTCCATCTTGAACCTTTGCAAAGCATGTGAGTGGGTACACCCACAGTGCTATATGGCCCAACAACAGTGAGGAAATTATGATATGGTTCCATTACAGAATGATGTGTGGCTTGGAAGAGAATTTGCAGTTGGCGGTGTTGTCACATTTTTGATGCTGTTGTCGTTCTAAGTGGTAGAGATCACAAGTTTCGAAGATGCTGTTGAAAAGATCTTAGGTGACTAAACTACAAGATGCAGAGATTTTTAGATTCCATCCTGTGCAAAATGGTCATTGACTCACACTTTTGTGATGCAAATGGTACTTGGATGTTGTCCATGTCTTGTTGCATATGAAAATGTTCTGCTTCACTATCTGATATATGGTGTCGAACATAGGGCAACCATCAGCAAACATACGACTCTGAATTTTTGATGGAGGGAAGGTGACTGATGAAGCAGTGGACAATCTTTGGGCCTAAAATAATACCTTTATATTGTTTTGGGACTGAGATAATGGACCTCCAATAAACACAACCATATTCCTTTGTGCTAGGTGTGACTCAATCTAGCAGGTGTTTTTTTTTTCATTTGATTTGCTTTTGACTTCAGTTTTGCAAGAGCTCCTTAAAGTCATACTCGGTCAAATGCTGCCTTGATGATAAGGGTAGTCATTCTCACCTCAACCCTGGAGTTCAGCTCTTTTATCAATGTTTGGACATCAGTCCTGGTCTACCTACGTCGATGCTACAGACAAGAAAGCACATCAATGCCTCTACTTCCTCAGAAGGGTAAGGAAACTCAGTATAACCACAATGACTCTGATCAATTTTTATAGATGCACCATAGAAAGCATCCTATCCAGATGCATCACAGCTTGGTATGGCAACTGCTCTGCCCAAGACAACTAGAAATTACAAAGTTATGAACACAATCCAGTCAATCACAAAAAACAGCCTTCCTTCCACTGACACTTCCTGGTCAGGAAAGCAACCAACATAATCAAGGACCCCTACCACCCCAGTTATACTCTCTCCCATCAGGCAGAAGACTCAAAAGTTTGAAAACACATACCAACAGATTCAAGAACAGCTTCCCCACTGTTATCAGACTTATGAACGGATCTCTTATATATTAGAGTTGATCTTTCTCTCCACCTTCTCTGTAGCTGTAACACTACATTCTGCATTCTGTTCTGCAACCCTATGTACTTATGTAAGGTATGGTTTGTCCAGTTAGCACTCAAAACAATACTTTTCACCGTACTTCAGTACCTGTGACAATTATAAATCAAATCAAATCAAGGTTGTGATGATGTCAGCTGTTGGTTAAACCCAAACTGAGCATCAACTGGCAGGCTGTTCCTTTAAAAGTGCTGCTACTTGATAGCACTATCAATGACCACTTACATTGCTTTGCTGATGATCGAGAATCATCTCAGACACAGAATGATGGAGAAACTTAGCAGTTCTGGCAGCATCTGTGGAGAAGAGAAACAAAGTTACCATACCATATGGTATGACTTCTTCAGAACATCTAAAGACTTTTCTTTTGAAGAACAGTCATACCAGACTTGAAACATTAACTCTGTTTCCCTTGCCATAGATAATGCTGAACCTGCTGAGTTTCTCCAGTATTCTCTGATTGTATCAGGTTTCCAGCATCCGCACAATTTTATTTTTATTCTAGTGACATAGCTGTAATTGACTAGATTACACTTATACTGATTCCTATAGAAAGAACATACCAGGACAATTTTCCACATTGCCAAGTAAATAATAGTGGTTGTATCTGGAAGGGAACAGCTTGGCTATGGGTGGGGCTACTTCTGGAATACAAATCTTCAGTCCCATTGCCAGAATATAATTGAAGCCTATAACCTTTGCATTGCCTTTAAACTCTTTCTTGATATCTTGTGGGATGAATCAAATTGTCTGAAGACAGGCACTTGTAGGACTGGGGACCTCAGGAGGGTAGATCATCATTGCTATTTGTGGAGCCTCCTATTTCAATTCATTGTTTCATTGTTCACGATCATTCATGCCAGGATGTAGCAGAACTGCAGGGCTTAGATCTGATCCATTGGTTTTGGGACTGCTTATCTCTGTCTATTGCATGGTGCTTCTGCAGTTTGGCATGTGATGTAGCTTCACCAGGCTACCACCTCATTTTTAGGTATGCCTGATGTTACAGAGAAGGGGAAAGTCAGACTCCTCTGATAGATAGAAACACAAGCCCCAATCTGTTATGGCGGGGCATAGAAGTTCCCTTCTAATAATTAAACCCGAAACACACAGAGAATCTCGCCTCGCCTTTATAATTTATTAAAAGCGTGGTTAAATGAAAGAAAATTCCTGATATCCACTTTATAAGTAACAACTTATTTAACCCGAACAGTGAACAAGTTAACAGACTTACTAATAAACCAAACAATTCCCTCCAGACTACTAACTACTCCCTAACTGGCCTAAATTCTACTGGAATGCTTTTCAAATAAACACAAGTCCCATTTATATAAACATTTAAAAACAACAATAAATTAAAACTTAATCTCTCCAAATTTGCACAGATTGTGTCTTCTGGAACACTCTGCCTTCTCCATTACACCACAATGATTTGTTCAGTGAGGACTTGGAGCTAAAATGCATAGTACCTTTTTTGGATAGATGGTGCTTTCTTAGAGAGTTTAGCAATTCCTTGTGAGAGTTCAGGGCTTATTTCACAGATGGCGGGCTTGCTTTCCCCCCAGGTGACAGTTCTCAACCTGATTATCAAAAACCGTCGTCGTATATACCCCCCAATGACACATCAATTTCTTATGATATGATTGGTTTCAGGTTGTCAAAACCATCAGTTTCAATTTCAAATGGCTTTCTATATTTAGATGCTTGGTTTAAATTAATTGGCTAAATTAAAACTTCTTGTCTCGATACCAAAACAAAAGTGCTGTTTTGCCTGCCAACTATAAGGCCTTTTGGTACACTTGTTTCCATTTTGGGGTTCTCTGTACAGTACTTGTAAACTTCCAAGCACAGACAAAGCACAATCTCTTAAAGGGACCATGCACTGCTTTTCCCCACTATAATTTTTGCCAACAAATTCTAACTTCCTGCCTTCTAATTCATAAATACGCCACACAACTGATATGCCCTGCTCTCCTCA